TGATGTAGACAAATGCTCATGTACACTTTACAGCTCATGTTATGTATGTTATTATCACTGAAGGAAAAAAAGTCAGTCAGTCAGTCAATGGTGTCTCACAGTGAAGTCTAGCAAGGAAACGGGTTTCCTTGCATAATTTGAATATTAGGAAACTGCTAACGTTTAAATTGCACAGATAGGACATATATGACATATTCATAATTCCTGCAAAGTTATACAGAACTTGATGTTGGCTGCAAAAGGGACATAGTATCTTTAAAATATCTATGATTTAACATCAAAACTCTCAAAACCAAACAAAAACAATAATGACAAATGGACGGGGAAACTAGGAAATGATAAAAAAAAAACAAGAGTTGAAATGAACTGAATTATTCAATTACAAAAATGCTCTTACCCCTCCCCCCCCCCCCCCCCCGCTTATTCACTGGCTGGCTGAGTCGTTGCGAAATTTTCGGCGCGATTTTCAAATTTTAACCCCCCCCCCCCCCCCCCCCTCGAGAAAAAAGTCCTGCGTACGCCACTGGATGATACCGTATATGTCTAATAATACTGAAACCAAATATTAGAGAAATTCCAGGAGAAGATAAAGATGGTAATTGTGATGCTTGGTGAAAAAGAATTGCTGTAGATCTTAACACCAAAAATATGACAATTGGGTTTTTTGATCAAAGGTTATTGATTCTAAATCAACGTGATCCACAAAAATATAATGACATACTTTTTTATCATGGCTATAAAAAATGAATATGTATAACTAAGTTGGATGATAGAGGATCGGGGACTCTTCAAAGCGTGTCACAATTCTAATTCCTGTAAGGTAAGTTTGATGAAACCTTCTGTAACATTGACTGGTTGAAAATATATTGATGGCAAGGACGGGCAATCAACTACTTGTGTTCTCACTACAACATTAACGGGTGTCTATAGTTAATCATTTTGGGACAATCATTTCAAATTTTGTGGCCTGGCTCAATAAATTTTTATTAAGAGCCCTAAAAATATACCAGATGCATGAGTATACTGACCTTCCTTGCATGCACTTCATTCTTTTTTTCGTATGGCCATGTGTTTTTTTTTAAAGGAAATTAAGTTATAAATGCCTCAAATTGGCAACAGGTTGACAGGTTCAAAATCTTGTTCAGACATCTGATGAATTTACATGAAATGATATCACAGAGGATGGCTCTATATCGACTTGCTACGCAACACTGAGAGGAACAAGACCAGCAAGGCATCCAGTCGCTAGTAAAGATATGTTGTTGCAACTCAGCATTCTGAAAGAAAATATCTGCATTTTTTTACTCAAAGTGTTAAGGAATTTAAGTTACCACAAATTCCATATGCACTGTAATTAATTAATAAATTAGTTTTCATGCACTGTATTCCTTAAAAACTCTTAAAAATCTTTTTTTCATACTGCCTTGTTTTATATTGTCTCAGAATTTCCACTACCTGCATCATTTTGTTAAAACGAATCAAGACTGAGAATCATACAAATACAATTTTTTCGCTGAAAGCATTAGCATTATCAATTGAAGGGTGCTGCCCTGAGGGAAGCACTCACTTTATGAAAAATATATTTCCTTTAACGGAACTTTATTTGATATTATCACTCTACCCTATTGCCAACAGTTGGTTTTTCTTATGTTACCTGTTTTCATGAAGTGATTTTAACAATATAGTTTATTCTGGATACTAAGATAGACTTTATTTCTTTTCGACCTTTATTGATTATTCTAAAGACCTTGATGAGTCCATTAACTGATACTGAACAAACATTGACTGTATCACAAATGAGGAGGCAATGCTATATTTTTGCATGAACATGTTTTTGATTTGGGTAAAATTCAGCTATACACTGGAAAGTGTTTTCCTTGCAATTGCATGAAATATATTAGGCCAGATATGCAATCAATGAAAAGAAAAAGAGCTTCAAAATAACTTCATGGACATGGATCAGGGAGCAGCGAGCAGGGGGTCATAGGGATAATTCACCATTCCCCAAAATTGATATTTTCCAGAGAGTTGATGTCATCACCATAACAACAACCCCTTTCCATCGATAGTGACCTCGGGGAATCATAAAGGTACTTTTTTGTTTGCATAAAGAAATCCTATGATTGAATCGTCCATAAATAAATATTTAAACACATTTTTAAGCATTTCCATGAATTATCATGAGATATAGGCTACTATTAATTGAAGTCTGTTATATTCCTTTGATTTTAATACACTGGGAGAGCCGTAGTGCTTTCTGAGAAAGATTTCGCCCGGTGTTTCTTTTTTCATCATTGTTATCATTATCATTATTACTATTGTTGCTATTATTGTTATTTTCGTGGTTTTGTTTGATTGATATTATCATTAATACTGTTATTTATCAACATGCTATCAGAAAGCACCTAGACACACTGAAAAAATGACGAACATGTAGCCACAGCCAAAACACAAACGAATAAGTTATCATTGTCCAATGCGTCCACCGCAAAGTTGGAAGTTGGAAAAACGTCTCCCAATTAAAATGATTTACATAATATATTTAACATGATGGCTAAATCATGTATATCATGTTTATGTTGATCCCGTTTAGATGTTCAGCATCAGCATCAGTGTATGGAAGTGTGAGGTGATCCTGTCGAAACTCTTATCACTGTAATTGATAATACTATCAATGGAATACTCCCCAATGAGTGGAGAATGTGCATACATTAATGCAAGACTGAATCCGACGACCGGGGTAATCATTTCTGTAAAGGCTTAGAGACAGCGTCGATGTATTGACCGCTAAATAAAATCGGAATTGTATTATAATTACTCAAAGCCATGTCGTACAAGGCGCGTGACACTTCTCAGTATTTCAAGGTTTTCTGGCTGTTGTACTGTAACATAATAACTATCGTCTGCCTAGAGCCAGAAAGGCGTAACTTCAAACCTTTAACACAGAGCTAACTTCCCTTCGTGCTCTCAACCATAATACCACATGGCGCTTTGACTTCGTAACGCGACCCTTCTGTTTGGAGAGGTATTTGATTAGGGAGTGGCTCTTGTGAGAGGTCTTAACTCAGTAGTTCTTATGAATTATGTGCCTAAACTCCTCCATCATTTTATTTCCATTTCCCTCTCCATTTTCTCCTTAACTCCCCACTATCCATCTTATCTCTGCGTTTCATCTCTCTCTCTCTCTCTCTATCTCTCTCTCTCTTCCTCTATTAACCCGTTTACTACTGAATTTCCTTAGTCTCATAGGTTTAATACAGGGGCCACCAGGTTCCAGGATTCAACGGGTTAATACTATCCATTTCTCCAGCATGTCCATAGAAGTAGGAAGCACATAATCACATCCTGAACTGAGTCACATAACATCGTTAAATTTAATGCAATACAGTCAAACCTGTCTATAGCGACCGCCCAAGGGAAACTCAAAAAGTGGTCTTTGTAGACATGTGGTCACTGAAGAATGTATGACTGTACAAGTCAACGCCTTTTCGCACCTCAGCAAATACGACCGACATTTGTTCCAAAGTCCATTTGAACATCCCACTCCATTACACGAGAGTCATTATGAGTTTAACATAAGTATTCTAGCTTTCTATTTTGGTATACATCACCTTGCATATTATGGTTTAAAGTGAGCAAAGCCCCTCTATCATGTTAGGAGCCCCAAATCCACCCCAAATTTCACTTAAATTGTATCATAATGTGAAAAAGAATGCCATTTAAGACACAATTCTGCAAAGGACCACCCCCCCCCAAAAAAAAAGGTGTTAGAAGACAAATATTGATAAAAGAATACATAATTCGGGTTTTCTGTTATACGCAGAAAACCTAAATTTTGTATTCTTTCATCAATATTCGCTTTATTTATTTATTATAGTTTTATTTCAACAGGGTGGTCTCATTTCAAGTCCATTTCTGGACCTGCTCTCCCAGAGAGCCCTGCATTCACCTACAAACATGTACAATAAAAACATGAATTCAAAACATTCAAATTCAATATACATGGCACATACAATAATTCAACTCAAATTGATATAAATAAGAGAAAGGAAAACACAGAAAGATTAAACTTAGGTAACATATAAACACACATTAACAAATCGAACATATTTGTTTTGAAAATCTTTGCAGAACTGTATCTTAAATTACATCCTCTTTCACATTATGATCCAATTCAAATCCCGACTGTACTAGGTTGGCCAAGAAAGATTAGACCACCCAGCGTGGTCACTGACAGGTGGCTTTATATTCAACTGAGCTCTTAATTAACATAATAAAAAGAGGATCATGGGGACCAACGGGCACCGCTGAGGCAATTGTTTCTATATAGAGGGAACAAGTAGCTACAAGTAGTACAGTGGGCTTTAAATGAAATTTTGCCATCAAATTTGTGGGGCTCCCAACACTTTAGAGGGGCTTTAATATTTCCGCAAACATCGAAATGTATATGGAGACCAATATGCCAACGAAAAGAAAGTAATTATGAAACTATACTTTGAACTGAAATTAATCAAGCTAGGTAAATAGGTGCGGTGATCACAGCTGTTGTGTGCGATTAATTCACACTATCATTTACTGCCCAACGACGAAATGCGAATTTTGCCTTCATTTTCATCTCGTTGGTGTACCGACAGGATTCTCCTGTCAGATACTTTCAAGAAAAATTGAAGGAATGATAACAGTCTGTTGGTGGTTTTTCTATAGTTTGGTGATAATTTTGTTGTCTTCGGATGAATCTTTTCAAATTCGAGAAGCAATCGACCATTTTATGTTTCCTGCAAGTTGTGTATCGTCTATAACGGTTGAAATTTGAGGTTTTCCGCGAGTTTCGTATCGCATAGCAGAATATTCTCGATTTCTCCTTTGAATTTTCCGCCGGACTGACGACTTTCCCCACATTCAGTTATGGACGCAATGGGATCACACGTCGGGGTAATTTCTCTGACAGTTTGCATAGTTCTTCAAAGCAATTTCATCTCAACGACGGCGAATACCTCTCCTGCTCCTCTTCTTCCCCTTCCTCTACAAAACGGCACTACTGGCAACATTACGCTTCCAAGTAAGCTATAACTAATCTGTTACAATAAGAAGTAAAGCTTGAAATAACTTTAAAAGTATAGGCGAATTAAAGAAAACTGTCAAATGGGTATGATAAAGGAATGAAATTCTTAATAAGGTTGTAAGATTTGTTTTCATGTTACATTTTCATAGAAAACGGATAGCTTATCAGTTACCAATCGACGAAAAATCGTTATAAATTGGAAAAAAAGTAAATGAGTATAATAAAGACATGACCTTCTTGATGAATAATGTGGTGGTTGTTATTTTACCTGACTGCTAAGTAAGCAACCAGACGGCCGACGACTTAAGGTCCTCTATGAGGGACATTAGCACAACTGCCTTGGTTTCGAACCCGGGTCACCGGATTACGAGACCACTGCTCTACCGACTGAGCTATCGCGCCTAATTATGTTAACATGCTCTGGACATTTTTTTCAACTCGGGATATGAACTATTTAAAGCAAATGAAATGCGTAAAACTGAATGGAAATGTCCAGTATCTATTCAAATGCAATATGCAGGTTTCCCATGGGTATAATCATATTACTTTCAATTTGATTCAATATGTTTCTTTCGATAAAGAATGTCAGGTTATTGCAGGATGAAATAAATGCAATATGTACCGTGTAATGCAGAAATCACAGAAACATGGGCAATTCTAAGATATGATATTAGTACGCTTTTTCCAAGGTATGCCCCTATCCTATTTATACCGAAATTGCAGTTGCATTTATCGTGATTATAGTGTAAAGGCAACTATTTATTTAAAGAACCAAAAAAAGAAAAACATAATTCATTGCATTCACCGATCTGTATATCGTTTAAAATAAATGGATCATAATCAATTTATTTGTTAAGGATTAGAGAATGATGAAAGTAGACAAAAGGTTGGCAGATCAAGGGGTAAAATAAACACGGGAAAACCGGGAAAAATGACGTCAAATTCTGTCTCTATTAATCTTACATGATTCTGTTTCTATTTTATATTATGAGAACCCTGTAACGAGGCCGACCTGGAAAGAGGCAGTTTGATCAACCTGACTCCTATCAAAGGCTCTAACCAAACTTTAACTGTCACGTGTCCTCACTACTTCACGCTGATTGGTCCTCGTAATCTGGAATGTATTGACGGCCGTTGGGCTCCACAGTATGAATCATTACAGTGCATAGGTAAGCACAAATTACCTTAAATCTTGTAACATGTCGTTTGTCAGAATTCCAAACCTTGTTAATCCAAAGGTTAATAATAGATTATTAATATATTTGAAAGGTTCGTTTGGCCGAGTGTTGTTTTATTATTCCAAAGGTTCTGAATCCAATTCTGAATATAAATGGTTCATACTCTCTAGAGTGAAACAGGGTTCACAATTCCGATAAACGAAAAAACAGTTAGTTTGATTTTTTTTTTAAAGTATTAACAATCATGTTGTCATTTTGATGAGAATTACAAACCCAGACTCATTTTCTAAATTATGAACCTCCTGCAGCGGCGGATCCAAGTAAAACAAAAAAGAGGGGGCGCGAAGCCAACGTGTGCGCAACATGAGAGCGTAGGTGCGGAGCCTTATGAGTAAGGTCCAGGGCCCGTCTTAGGGCCCCCGGATGCTCTCGAGTTTCAGCGAATAAGAATCCTGAAGATAGCCGGCCCGTACTGTTCGATAAAAACACACACTCTCTCCTTAGGACATATTCATATAACAAAAGGTTAAGTTGTGAATCACTTCTATTTGCTTGATTTTATTTTCCTATTTATTTACTTCTTTTTCTATGGTGGTATACAAATCGTGGTTGAGCAGCTTATGGCTCAATCGTTTAAAATGACCTAGTTTATTAAAATTAAAAATACATATAATATAATTATTGCAAGTGGCAAATATTTTCAAACACCACGGTCAATAAATGATAATCAGTGAATAAAGACCATAATTGTGGTTTCAAAGATTCAAGAAAAGCCCAGGGGCACCTCTAAGGGGCCCCTTGCGGGTTGCGCAGCCCCTGCTAGGGGTATAGACGGTGGATCCCAGGATGCTCTTGGGTATCAGCAATCTAGAATCTTTCTAGGAAGCTTTTTTAGGTGCCCCTAAAGGGTTGCAGGGGCAGAGTATTACGTCTTGAGGGCGTAGCCCCCTGGACGCCCTCGAATTTTTTGGCAACTCAAAAAAACTTCAAAATAGCTTTAATGAGCAATTTCATACAACAAAGAGTTGTCTTGGGAAACATTTTTACCTTTACGGATGGGGTTGTGGGTTGCATGGCAGACCCTCTGCCTACCTTCATTTCTCCTTTTATTTCCGTCGCCCTCTCTCTCACTCTCTCTCTCTCTCTCTCTCTCTGTCTCCCCTTCCCCATTTAAGGCCGCAAAAAAAATGAATATTCCGAATTACGAACTTTCGAAAGAAAAATTGCGCGCCCTCTCGCCACCCTCGTCATGGTGGCGGATACCCGAATATTTTTTTTTTCTCCCAAATTGTCGGTGGCGGGGTGCGGGAGGCGTTATTTTTTTCTGCGGCACAGTTTGGGGCTTTTTTTAAAAAAAGGGGTCTTGATTTAACCCTAACCCTAACCCTAAACTTTCCCATAGGCTCTACACGCACCTAACCCCAAACTGTGCTGCAGAAAAAAATAACGCGTGCGGGAGGGATGGGGGGGGGGAGTTTTTCAACAGCCCCGGTCTCGTTTACCTTTGGTACTGAAAATTTTGAAATTTGAAATTTGAGTATTTCATTTGAGAGCTGCTCGAGTTAAATTTCACAGACTGAGGAGTATTATGAATCAAATGATATACCATGGACAAAAGTATGACAAATTTGTACAAATACAAACCCAAGAGAAGAGTACATTGCCAAGGAGATTATCTAATAGTTACCATTATTGTGTAGATTGAAGCAATAACTTCGTCTGCCAATAACCATAACCTCGTTATACTTTTTTTCCGATATGAGTTCCAGTTTATGCTTCGTGATTTAATGCTGGCCCTTGTCATTATTCACAGCTCCCTGCAATACTACTAACTCGTTCATGCCACAAAATATGGTCACTCATCCTCCACTGTCACCCTCCGAAATAGTTTTACCCACTACCACGTTCGTGACCGCATGTCAACCAGGTCCGGGACAGCCACCTCCATTTCAACCTCAACGGCCGGGCGGCCCTCCACGCCCAAATGAGCCCCTACCGGTGCTGGGGGAGCTCTTGTGCTATGATAGCACGTGGTACCTTAACGGGTTGTATGAGTGCACGGAGGAGGAGGTGCCGGTGGTTACGTCGACGGAGAGCATGGTGGTTTCGTCGACGGAGAGCATGGTGGATGAGGTGGAGAAAAATTGTTCAGAACCAGGTAAGTCGGTAGGTGAACCCCAACAGTACCGAAATATAAAATCGAAATAGAAAAGACCTTCCCAAAGCCTCTTTTGGATATCGGTATTTTCTTGATAGTTTGGAGAGGGGGAGGGGAGGGGGGGGGGGGGAGTGCAGCAGAGCGAGCTTGAGAAACTTCAGTACCAAATACTTTCTTATTTTTGTATACAATAATGTCCTTACTTTATAGGGCGTTTAAGTGATATAAATGATTTAGCTGAATAAATTGCTACTTTATGACCCTTTTCATGCTTTTCCAAGCATTCTGGCTTTTACTACCTTACAACATGTAATGTATGCAACTTGGCATTCTGACTATCGCAATACAATCATTCGAAACAGGTGATACAATTATGAAAATATCCTAATACGAATGCCTACCTGACATACTGCTTGTTTTCAGTGATAGCCGGTAACATGACTGCAGTTGAACACGCCGAGGTGGCAACGGGTTCTACATTTCCCGCGTCGATAGTCTACGCTCTCTCAGCACTCGTGGGCCTTCTCCTCGTTCTCCTCCTCGTGCTGTCTATCTGCCTCTGCCAATCGCGCAGGTGAGTCACTATACGGTATCGTTTTGGATGTTCCTCGCCAATCGAATAAACCGAATGACGATCTAAGCAAGGATTCATAGGAGAGGTCGATGATACGGTTTCCCGGGAGCGACATTTTTAAACCTAACCTAGCCATCCTGCGCTGCATAGGCCTATTAATACTTGAATATATGAATATTTGCGTTGGTACGGTGAGGTGGAAATCAAAATTAAATCGGCCAGATTCGGACTTAACCAGTATGTCGCAATGATTATGAACAATTTATGTCCTGGGCAGTGGCGGATCCAGGGGGGGGGGGGCCGGGGGCCGGTCCCCCCCTTGAGAAAAAAAATCATGCAAAATCACGCGATTTTTACCTTTTGGGGGGGGGGGGGGTTGCCCCCCCCCCTGGCGCTCAAGGGGGGGGGGGGGGGTGCAAATTTTAAAATTTTCGAGGACCCCCCCCCCAAAAAAAAAAAATGTGCTCACTACCCCCCCCCCCCCCCCCCCCCCCACTGAGCGACTTTTCGGCTGGCTCAGTCGTTGCGATTTTTTTTGGACTCCAAAAAAAAAAAAAAAGTGTCCGATTATCCCCCCCCCCCCCCCCCCCCCCCCCCCCCCCCCCCCCCTTCCCTGGGCGACTTTTCGGCCGGCGCGATTTTCAAATTTTCGGGAGCAAAAAAACAAAAAGTTGAGCCCCCTCCCCTAAGAAATCCTGGATCCGCGCCTGGTCCTGGGTAGTCATTCGTTTACGGTAAGCCACCTGATTTTCTCACAATGTCATTTTTGTATGAAATCTCAATATTTGATAAATTATAGCATCGGATTCTGTCAGTGGCCTTCATTCTTTCTAGAAACATTACTAATATCATGAATTAAAAAATTTCATTTTATTTCTAAATCATAGGAGAAATTTGTTAGGTGAACAAAAAATGCCCGACATATCAGTACGTACTACGTAGGCAGATATTACATGTGTGAAGGCAATTGTATTGTAACAACTTATATAGGTTAAATATTATATTTTCCTCAGATCATGAATTGGCTTTGTAAAGTACTAAATGAAAAGCATTAAGACCGAGAAAAAGAAGGGGTGGTTATCGGGGCCTACGTGTATATATTTCATCTTGAAAAGTACTTTCATCGCATTTGTCCACAGAAATGATAATAGCACCAAACGCATGAAAAAGTCGGGATTCAAAGATCAACTGAGCATCTTTAAAAAGCCTACCCCGTTGAATCGTCCTCCAAAACTGCCGTTACGGCCAAGCACAGTCGGCTCCGTCGGTTCCAATCGGTACCAGGAACACGAACCGCCGAAGCTACCCGGCCAGAAGATAGCCGAAGAGGAGGCAGAAGCGAGGAAGATCGAAGCTATCCGATCAGAAATCTACGAGCAGATCGGAAAAAGGAGCGATTTGCCAGAGTACATCGACATCTACCAGATCAAGTAATCCTGGATTGTGCGAGTCATTAAAAAGGGGTGGATCAAGGCTTGTCTGAAATGGGTAGGAGGGGAGGGGGGGGGCGAAGGATATTTTACCCGACATCATTTTTTTTTACCCCTAAGGGAAAATGCCAAAGACCCTGAATGTTAAAAGGATGCAAGAATTATTTTCTTGGAATATCATATTGGTCTTGGCATTTTGAATTAACCTTAATAGTAGACAGAGTCCATTTAATTTTCTATAGGATGCACTTACACGAGCATAACAAAGGAGTAGTAAAACCAGTAATTCAATGTGTACAATATTGATAAATACAAGTATGAATTTTATGTTTCTTTCATTTTAGGTCATTCGAAGCTAGATAATCAAGTTTCATTAGTCTGCTAATAGCTTTTGTTCTTTCTTTTCTTCAGGAAGAGTGTATAGGCGAGTAGCCTTTGAACGCCTATTACATTTTTAAAAAAATGCTAAAACCAGTTCGAAATATACGCTGCATGAGGCGTAGGAAAGCGTTTCTTTGATCATTTTTGTCTGCATTTTCACTCATATCTCCTTCCTTTTTTGCTAATTATATAGGATTAATGATAGCGTTAAACAATAGCGTTAAACAATAGCGTTAAACAATAGACCTAACCTGGGTTATACATTGCTCATACATAAACAAGAACATATTACATAAAACCTTTCACAAAATACATGTATTTACAGTACATAATATAAAACGCATTTCTTGTAGCATTGATAATTGATAATTGATTTCTATCTGACTGTATATATTGTATGTGGTCGCCCATTTTATAGTTTCTTTTCCTGTGGCCCTATTAAGTTCAAGCTGTAGCTTAAATTAAACCGGTAACAGTGTTGAAGATTGATGAAAAAACTGCGTAATTTTCGTATGAATTGTTTTACTTATTATACTCTTTCTACTGTACTAACCCTCTCACATGCCAAGAATCTGGAACAAAATTCTTAAACCACAAAGACATTTATGGTTTTCTTTGAAGGCGTCACTGTGCAACACCCTGAAACAGTAATTTCTCCCAACCATTTTTGAATTTTCGCAACTGTTTTTCCATGAAAATAAGACATAAAACAGGCTTTAAAAAAAATAATTCAAACCTAATTGTTTGGAATGGTAGAGAGTTCCAGTTCTTTGCTTTTTGACGATTTCCTTTCACCTAAATTTGAATTCAAATTATGATACTATAGTAGGGAGAATTTAGGAGTTGATCAGATCAGCTTTTCCCAATTTCTATCATTAATAATGGTCTGTTTTCATTCTAACTTTCAGATTATCTTTAATTGAAGGCATTAAGGTAACTACATTGGCACCATTTTCTCTCATCTGAACAATGTTAGCAAGTTATCAGAAATTTGCATACATGTTAGATTAGGGACTTGGTAACATTGTTCAGATGAGAGAAAATGATGCTAAGGTAGTGACTTCAATGCAAGTTATCAGAAATTCGCATACATGTTAGATTAAGATGGCGGTCTTCTGCATTTTTTTCAATTTCGGTTTTTTGTGAAAGGTATAACTATTTAATTGATTTGAATTATGATACGATTATATATGTATTTTGACCTTTGTATTTTACTTTTCATTATGTTATTAGTGTAGCGATTAATCGGCTACACTGAAAATATCAAGTAAAGGTTTAGTCTTTTATCAGTATATTCTAGAAGTAGTATTACATTGTAGTAATAGAAGTCGTAGTATCATGATTCTTATTCTTATTATTATTATTAATATAGGTATTACTACTACTACTACTACTACTAACTTTATGTTATTATATTTGTTTCATTATTTTATTATTATTCGAATTATTCTAATTACTATTATTACTAATAATATTAATAATATGGATATTTATATAGCGCCGGTATCCGCCAGGCTCTGACGCTCATGGCGATGTACATATTTTATCATTACTGTTCTAGGGATGGACTGGTGAGGGTATCCCGATTTAATATGAATTTATCCTCCAGTATAACTTATATCATTACTTGTATACTAGATGCATTTTCAACCGTTCATTAGTAACGTGTTTTGATTCTAAGAACATATCTATTCTGTCAATGCCCGCTCACCAACATTAAATTAATATTTCTTTTGTTCTTTCATAATTTTGATTATTTTGTAATTTTTGTTATTTGTTATGTGCATTTTGTAATTACTATAATTTGATGCTTAGGCTTTTTGTGTACATATCTATTCGATCAAGCGCTTTGTAGCTACTTTATAAAAAAGGCGCCATAAACATGTTTTGTATTCTTGTTCTTCTTCTCGTTTTTATTATTATTATAATTCTACTTTTCTATTTTATTTATATTGATAATAATCGATATTATGGATTGTTTTTCAATTAATTTGATTTCGATTTGATTAGATTTGATTAGATCTCAATGAGCAAGATTGGCACCACATCCCCTTTCCTGCGACTCGATTTCACTCAGTTTCTGTACCTCTCTTTCCCTCTCTCTCTCTCTCTCTCTCTGTTTCTCTGTACCCCCTCTCTCCCCCTCTTTCTTCAATAAATACACAACATATCACATGATGGCGCACTTTCAATCTTGGAATTTAGCGAGATAGATGATACTGGCGATTTTCGCCGGTTAATCTTTTTCTTGTCACAATTACACTTGAATTTTGCCTATTTATAACTATTAGAATGACCAGATTCATCATAAAGTAGTGATCGAAATAACTTATCAGCTATGAAACAAAAATCCGAAACACCCGGACAATAACAGACTACGACGTGTTTCCATTAAGAAAACGAAAACTCTGCAGTCAAATGCATCAACATTCCTTTTCAACTGATATGTGTCATTGTTGGTCTTTGTTAATGGAATTAAAATGGAATTATCATCACACACAATTCATGGTTAATATTCTGCACAATTAGCTGATTACCTTGTGCACCCTTTGAAACCAGGAATATGTAGCTATTAAGCTTATCTTAAATAGTAAAAAATAACGTTTTTGTATGGCGCATTATTGCATGTCTCTATGCCTTCCAACGATAAAGTGTCCATATTCCATTTTGGAGCCTGGTTTTCCGTTTAGATAAGTATAGAAGATATGTCTATACATGTATATAATCATATATATGTATGTATGTGTGTATGTGCATTTGTGCTCATGTGTTTCTCTCCCTGTGTATGTGCCTGTGTGTGCTTGTGTGTGTGCGTACATGTGCGTGTGTGGGTGTGTAGGTGTGACTGACTAAGTGTGACTCTGTGTGTGTGTTTTGATATGTGTGGCATGATTGATTTTGTTAGGGATGTTATTTGGATCTGCAAAGACCGAATTAATACCTAAATCCCAATTCAAACATCACATAGGCGTCACTTTGGCGCCAATCGATTTTTGCACTCTCTTTAATAAACAATATCTTCTGTTCATCCAGGCGTGACCACATTCCACACAAAAATGATACCAAATGATTTGGGATAAAACACTCTATCATAAGAAATATATAATTATTTCACTGTTCATAAATGATTTTTAAAAATAATTAGCAATTTTCTAGGTGTAAACTCTTTTTGACTCACATATTGCAATAGTTTGGGTGTTTTCCCATTATTATAATATAATATGCTATCAAACTTAAGAATTTGAGTGATGCATCAGGATACAAAGTATTTCACTCATTCATTTCATTTCTGAAAAGATGGGCCAAATTGAAAGAAATCCAAAACTATATAGAGGAATTCATGAAACACAGAATCGAATGCCTTTTTTAAAATCAATAACATCAGTAACATGCCAGTTATAGCCTGTATTTCGGTGTCAAAAGTAAAACGACTTTTTAGAAAACCCTTTTGATTTTCGTGTATCAAGTAAGGCAAAACCCTCTTTTAACCCTTTTATATTTATCTCATATTAATGCGATAGTCCATATAGCTTGCCCTCAGTTAACATAACGGGGGTTAATCATAAAATGCCTTTGGATTTATTGATGCCAAAATGATGTAAATGTATTCACGTCATTCACCGAACATAAGAGTAGGAGCAAAATAATCACCATTACCCCAGTTCCGACGCGCCTCAGATCATAAATGTCCACACTCCCTTATAAAATGGGACTACACTACTTGTAGCGCCCTCTATATAGCCAGCAATGCCTAAGCGGTACCCGTTGATCCCCCACGGTGCCCTTTTTATTATGTTAATTGAGAGCTGATTTGATGAGATAATCACCTGCCATTGACCACGCAGGGAGGTATAATCCCTCTTGCTTGTCAAACTAGTGCAGATGGGCTTTAAATGACACATCTATTATTTTTTACAAGATTTATTGTATCGGATCCAAGTAAGTGAAAGCGAGATCTGATTTTTTCTTTTAGTTAACGCCAGTCACTTTTCCATACTTTTAAAGAGATTTAGTTTTCAGTTATTTGATTTTGATTTGATTTTGATTTGATTTGATTCTGCATTCATGTGGGTTCACATTTTTTTGATAGCAACAATAATATAAAGTACAATAAGTATTTTTTTCTGATATTATAAACTGTCATAATTACTCAATTTATACTAAAATACTCAAACATTATAAAACATTACAAAATTATTTACAAAAGAAGGACTGTCATTATAAACAGAAGATTGCTTGATAATACGACAGCCCCAGACAAAACTCATGAAATAGATTAACTTATTTATTGAGCAGAAACGAATAGGTAATTGAAAATACAAATTTTGACGATGGTGATATTGACAATGCAGATGATGATAATGATGATGATGATGACGATGATGACAATGATTTGAATGAAAGAAGAGATAAAATTATGATAAAGACTGAAGAGTTTACACAGAAATCTTAACTTGAATATTCTGATAATAACATCGTTTTACCTTTATCCTTAAATTTGTAGAGAGAGCAACATGATTGATAGATTCTGGGAGAGAATTCCATAGGTCAGGACCATGGTGTCTTATTGATGTATGGGCAATAAGTAATTTCGGGTTTACTGGATGAAACTTTGGGGAATTACGGGTAAAGTATGAGTGAATGGCTTTATACATAGTGTAAAAAGTTTTGAAATGAAAGAGGGAGCATATCATTTAAATACTTAAACATGATAAGTAAACTTTGTAGCAGATTTATGTCGAGGACTGTTAGGGTTTTCAGTTTGTAAAATATTGGACTTGTGTGAGACAAATATGGTGAACCAGTATGAATACGGGTAAGATTTGGGGCAACCCAAATAACAAGACAATCGGAACTATACAGAACGAACACTAATAGGAAGAGAGGAACTAGATGCGCAAACATTATCGGGGAAAGTGGAACTGCATGAAAGAGCGTGGGGGTAATCACGACTATTGGGGGACAGTCCCAAGAAATCCCGCAATTCTGTTTGTCTATCATGCGGGATCACTGGAGCGTGGATACAATAGCAAGTGACGATGTTACGCCCGATAGTGAATACAAAATACCAAGATCCCGAGGCCATAATAGGAAAAGGGTAACTACAAGCGCAGAAATTATGGGGGAAAGTGAAAGTGTAAAGCTATGCAGTGTAAGGAAAGGGGTCTGCATGAAAGAGCATGGGTGTATTCACGCCGATTGAGGGGATTGAGGGACAGTCCCAAGAAATCCAAAATGTCTGTTTGCCTATTATGAGCGATCACTGGAGCGTGGATAATATAGCAAGTGACAATGAAAAGCCCGATAGTGAATACTAATTCTCATCCACTTTTCTGGAGTAAGAGTTTTAATAGCAAGTGAAATAATGCAAACGGTAGTCGGCTGTCCTTATTTTGGTTTCCGAAGAAGAAAATAATGGTGCGCCCTTCATTGTATTCAGTTTGCATTTTTTGTATGTAGAAAAGTTTAACAGTGCATTGAGAAGTGAATGCGACGCCACTCGTACTCGCTTCAGATTGGATCTAGGCCTACTTACTGTTCAGTCTTATCTTATTTAGGTAAGTTTTGTTTTGTATTATTTGCTGTGCGTTTTCTGTATATCAAGCTTCGTTCCTATGTCTAGAAATCACGTATTGAACGAACTTAACAAAAAGTTTTGAACTCCTACTTTTCATTGGTATATAGAACATTTGAGCCAGAGGGGGAAGAAAGGCCTGGAGAGAGAGGTATAAAAGCGATAGATAATTTGGATAAGGATCAATACGCATGTAAAAGGATTTCGTGATAAAGAATGCCTATAAACGCTGATGAATAATAACGATAATTTATTATCATTACGCAACGCATGAATTTTAAATATACATTGTATTTCACTGACATTTGAGTGTATAAAATAAGAATTTAGGGTTTAAGCAAATATTGTTAAAAACTAACATCCATCGTCAAGTAAAATATTACAAAAATCTTTTTAATGACCTTAATCCTTCTTATTTTAGGACATGATCGAGTTCCCTTTAGAAAACGGGATTTTTTTTTAAATCGCAAAGACTTTCTACAATCAACTGAAGAGCAATTTCAATACCCCGTTGTATAGCCCATATAAATCATGTTTGGACTATACGTATTAAAGGGAAAGTCCACCCTGAAATTAAGTTAGTTTTAATAGGAGTAGAAAAATGAGAGAAACAAGTCAGTGAAAGTTTGAGCAAATTCCGATTAAAATAAGGAAGTTAGGATTTTTGAAGTTGTGATCAATCAAACACAAATTGGCAACTCTATGACGTATCATGCGAGCTCAACTTCCATTTGCTCAGTACTAAAAAAATCTAAAATTTTCATTTTTCCTCAAGAAAAATTTCAACCATACATGCACCCTAAATATAATAATTGCAAATATGTTTCTATACTCCCCCTGCAAGGAACAAATATATATTCCGTCATCAATAACGAAGAAAACATGATTTTATGGAATATTATGCACAAAGCAAATGAAGGAGAGCTCGTATGATAAGTCACAGAGTTGCCAATTTGTATTTGATTGATCACAACTTCAATAATTCATAACTTTCTTATTTTAATCGGAATTTGCTCAAACTTTCACTGACTTGTTTCTCTCATTTTTCTACTCCTATTAAAACTAACTTAATTTCAGGGTGGACTTTCCCTTTAATACGTATAGTCCAAACATGATTTATATGGGCTATACAACGGGGTATTGAAATTGCTCTTCAGTTGATTGTAGAAAGTCTTTGCGATTTAAAAAAAAATCCCGTTTTCTAAAGGGAACTCGATCATGTCCTAAAATAAGAAGGATTAAGGTCATTAAAAAGATTTTTGTAATATTTTACTTGACGATGGATGTTAGTTTTTATGGAATATTATGCACAAAGCAAATGAAGGAGAGCTCGTATGATAAGTCACAGAGTTGCCAATTTGTATTTGATTGATCACAACTTCAATAATTCATAACTTTCTTATTTTCCTTCAGAATTTGCTCAAACTTTCACTCACCTGATTTTCTTATTATTCTGCCTCTATCGAAACAAACTTATTTTGGGGGTGGACTTTCCCTTTAAATATGTCGTTATAATGTTCGCATATTTAAAGAGGTTGCTACAAAACTGTGGAACCAGCTAACTAATGCTGTGCAGCTGGCCTCATCTGTTAACCAGTTCAGAGAACTACTCAAGTCACATCTATCCTGCTAGAAATTACTTCATTTCCAGCCCACATATACTTTTCTGATCTCTGAGAATTGTCTCACCTTTGTTTTAAGTGGCCGAAACATTGTGGAGCGTGTGTGCAGCGCTTTGTAACTGCAAGGAAAAGGCGCTATATCAAATACCTTTTGGATTGGATTGGATTGGATTGGTGTTACAATCTACTGAAGTGAAACTGAATGGGGTTGAATTATCGACGGTCTTTGCGAACCGTGCAATGTTTGTTCCATATTTCCGAACAGACACTGATACATTGACCATACGTATAATGTAATCTAATGTATGAAGGAAATTACCCGAATATTAAAGGTTGATGCTATGCTATCAAATATATATCAGGTACTCAGCACTGTCACAAATTCGATGATTATGGCACTGCCAATTGCTACTGACATTTTACTGTGTTATTATGAAAAGAAAAACAAAATGACGATTCTTCGAAAATCATGAATCGAAACAACTCTTTAAAAAGTCATTCAATCAGGAAGGAGTGCGCTAAGATTTTGATAGTGGAACTTGTAAAATTTGATGTATATGATGCCGCGCGGAAGACTAATACAAATATATCTTTTTATTTGCAAATTTTCTTGCAAGAAATGTAAAAACGTTAGAATTGCTCTTATTTTGCAATTCATCGACTGAATATGGGGTAACATAACACATACAGAAGGTGGGTGAGTGGATCGAACAGGGCAAAAATAGTTTGTGGGCTTACATGATATCGCATGTGGTACCTACGGCCCCTGAATCGAATATTGTATAAACCAAAAACTGAGAGAAAAAATTAGATCTCTTCGAGAATCATATTTATTATTGTTCATATTATCACATGTTTATTATTGTTCATATTATCACATGTTTGTCTTCTTTCATATTACCATATTATGTATATCATTGTTCGTATTATCACATGTTTATCATTGTTATACTATTGTTATATTGATACTATGTTGTAAATATGTTTTTGTTCTCTCATACATCGAGAGGGGATCGATAGAGTCAATAAAATCCCACAATCTTACAATCTTAAAATCTTAATTTGCACAAGTTGTTGAAATGCAGCAAATTCAAAATAGGCAGTTGTGTTAATGTCTTCTAAAAATCTAACCTTAGCTAGACGTTGCATTCGTCACGAAGGCAAAGTAGGCGATCTGCCGCTTTGATCAAAACATAACACATGTAGAAACTCACTGGGAGATGTGGTCTTTTTTTTAAATCCCACATTCCATTGATATTACACGCATGTCAACAAATTCAGTCCCCTATGACGCGCGCACGGACATGGGTGTGATCAAGGGGGTGTTTCACATAGATCCTTAGTCGAACTTAACGCTAAGTTGGATGTTGAAATTATGGAGAGCCATGTGTAGCCTCAAAACAATTATATTCAAAAGCGAAAATCCAAGTATTTTAGACTTTTTATAAATTTCACATCAAGAACATGAAATCTCCTTGATAAAAAAAAAAATGAATGATTTGAATCAACATTTTATGCCCTTTAACATAACTTTTACAAAAAAAATTTCAAAGATGCTTTCCATCATTGTTAGGTCCAACTTAGAGATAAGTTCAACTTAGGATCTTTGTGAAACACCCCCTTGAAGTTAACCCATCTCGTTTAAATTTATGCCGGCATACCAAATATCATTCATAAATGACTATCCATTACTGAAATATGACACAAACTCAATGGGAGAAAGCCAGTACAAGTATAAACCATAATAGTCATCTGCATCACTTTGGTCCAATATACTTCCATTTTCAGCTTGAAAAGATACAACGTTAACAACTAATATTCTAAACTCCTCACAATATTCACAGAACTAGCAAGTAGTCTTAGTCTGCACTTATTCTAGTAAACTTACAAACAATTATGATTTCTTCTTACTGGAACCTCGTATCTACATACACATTACATAGAGGTCATACTTTATATAATTAACACACAGTAGTTTACTAAATGTATTCATGTCATGGTTACATACAAGTAATCTAGCACAAGTCACGCGTTCGGGAATGTTAGGTCCGCTTTTTCTCTGGATGAAGTCTCAGGACTATAACCAAAAAAAATAAGAACAAAGGGAAGTAATAAAGAAGGGGGAACAGTATTCAGACAACAAATAAAATATAGAGGAGATGAAGCATAATTTTAGTTTACCACTGCCCCCTTTTTGTTAAATCGTTAAATTATCATTTCTGGCGCTTTAGAACATACGTTGATTCTTCACGGGCCCGCCCGGCCCTCATATTTTTTTGACTCATCTTGCCACTGCTTTTAGTATTAGGGAAATGACTTTAGGCTAGAACTTCATGAAATGTATGAGTGGCTTTGGAGCGCGATTGTTACACTATCGCATGATATTATCTGCGAGGAAAATGGTTTTATAAAAATGGGGAAACCCACCCCGATTTAGTTGGTTTTAATAAGAAAGGAAAATTAAAAAAAGATCAGCAAATATTTGAACAAGATCCGATTAAATTAAAAAAAGTCACCGATTAGCAACTTTTGACTAACCATTAAGAGATCCTCTCCCATTTGCTACGTACTTAATTTAAAAAAAACATGTCTATTGTTGGTGTTCCCTTGTTTAATTCAGCGGTTCGAACAATGTGTGCAATAATTATATCTCGGGTAGATATATGATTGATACCCTCTTTAGAAATAAGTAAGTGTTAATGAAGTTTCCGGGACAACTAGCAAATGGGAGGGAACCTCACAAAATACGTCACAGTTGCCAAAATGTGTTTGATCGATCCCACCATAAAAAAATCACCACTTTTAATAACAAAATACTTTTAATCGGAATGTGCTCAATCTTAAGCCAGAACATGTTACTAGTCTTTGCTTTCACATTGTTAACACGTTTATCTCTGCTCGAATCTCTCTATTTCTAGTTACACCAGGTCAGACTTCCCTTTAAGTTTAAGATACTTCTTCTTCCATATGAAATAAATATATTCAGGCTGAATTCAATTTTTCCATCCGTTGCCCCACGTCTATCTAATAAAAAACTCTCTGCATTTCGATGTAATAATACTTCACTTGAGTTCTTCATGAAACATGTGAAAACATACCTCTACAATGTGCTCTTCTTAATTTGTTGATTGAATTAAGGACAGCGTCTTGTGTCCGTTGTCCAATTATCATTATCCAATAATTATAATCATTATTATAATAATAATTATTATTATTATCATTATCATTATTCTATTAGAAATATTTTTATCGTATTACATCATCAGTTTTTTTTATTATTTTAATCCCAGTGACATGAACGGAATGAAAATGAAGAAGTGTTACGAAACAACTCACTCAGTTGTCCAGCTTCTCCTCATGCTTTGGATGACATCCCTCGTCCACATTGCAGCTGGGGGTAAGTAACATTGAATAAACGTATACCGTTACGAATTTATTATTTATCCATGTTTATAGGCCTGTATTTTGGGGGAGATTTAAATGTTCATCTATTACTGTCTACTCATTTATGCGCAGTACACATAAATGAAATGTGAAAAAATAGAAATTTCCTAATAAAATTGGATTATAAAAAAAGGAGTAGTTTTAAGACTATCTTCACAAAGGCTTGCATTTTTCTAGTGATTTTTTCTTCATTCTCTTGTAATTGGTCGTTTAGGTCTAGGGTATAAGCACAAGGTTTGAACTGAATTTTATCGTAGATTTAGATTGACGTTTCGTACATTGATGTGATATACAGTGCGTTGGTTTCAGTTCCGAGCAAGGGAGCTAGATGAAGCCCTATGTATCGACATTGGTCAACATTAATCATTTCGTAACATTTGTAAATTTTTTAGTTTTTTGTTTGAAATAAAAGAAAGTATGTACAAACCAAAAAACATACTATTAAAAAAGAGTGTAGATATGATAAGACGTGAGTAAATAATAACATTCATCTTTCTCTTTATGGTTTTAGATTTATTTTCTTGCTCGGGATCTAACATGAACGTGTCAATGACGTTTGTTTGCGATGGATATTACGACTGTGATAATTATGAGGATGAATCATCATGTAGTAAGTAACAGAAAACCTCCTTAGTTTTGATGTTGAAATTCTTTTTTGACTAAATGTTCTGCTGCCTACTACCAAATACATGACTCAGAATACAACTTAAGCAAAAAAATTGCAGAAATCTAAAAAGCATATCCCCTATTACATCAGGAGTCTGTTTCATAAAACTTGTCTAAGATTCTATGACAAATTTGCCAATAAAATGCCACGATTTCAGTAGCTGATAACAGTTATTATAACTTGTTATTGATAGCAGGTTTTTTGAAACAGGTCCCGGGTACACGAAAACGGAATTGTTGGAATAAGGGTGCAAAAATATGAACATATCTTTCCCATTCACTCACATTATTTTCCCCTCTTTTATGAAATTGTAAAATTCATCAGTGTTTTGAGTTTTTACAGTGAAATTTCTTCATCATTTTAAAGACAGACTTGTTTTGTCTGCCTCATGGACTTTTCTTTGATATTTTAGTCACTGGGGTTATGGCTCCAATTTTTTCCATCGGATTTTCACAACTTTGTAGAAGCCAAAGACTGCTTCTGAATAGGCAAACATGCCATTTCACTTATACGATCATCACTGTCGCTCATATAGTTGGAATATTTTTGTTTTACCCCAATTTATGGAAATTTTTTAAAAATAATTAAATAATAATAGATCTAGATAATAGTATACATTCTCAAATTTTATTGAATGATAATTTGCCAATGTGTGTTTTGCTTGACTGCTAAAGCATGTGTATGCCACTATGCTTATCAACTAGGGGACCTACGCCCTTAAGTCATAAATGACAGTAATGAGGATTAATGCCCCACAAAAGTGGGGCATTAATGGCCCTAAACCACCTCAATTGATCGCATGAAGCGGGGTACAAGCCCTAGAGTTTGTAAATATGAAGTCGTATGTCTGCATATCAGGTCAGGGGGTGTTTCATAAAGATGTTCGTAAAGTTACGCATGACTTTACGAACGACTTGTATATGAAGTGCCAAATAGGATGCCCAAAGTTTTTTCTGATATTTTCAATTACCTCAATTAAATTATGGCAACAAAATATACTTTGCATTAAAAGTGTTTGTTATCAGAAGAATGTTACAGTTCAACTTTAGTTAATGTATTTATTAATGATTGAGCATACATTTGGCTTTTCATATACAAGTCGTTCGTAATGTCATGCGTAACTTTACGAACAGCTTTAAGAAACATCCCCGTGGTCAGACTTTATATTTTGTAATGAAAAGGGATTTTGCCTATAAGAATTGTCTCCGTATTATTTTTAAGAAAAAATGCTACCATTTCTTAAAGGGGCGTCTGATATCAACCGATCCATGTACCCATTTGTTCGCTTTTTCGTGCTTGTAATGTCCAGTCATAATAACTACCAACACAATTTCGTGAATGAAATAGATGGGTTGAAACGGACCTGACTTTAAGCTCTGATTTGGGGAACTCTGACAGAAACGATCAGGTCGACACATTTTGGGGGAATGATCTTTCCTCTAAATAAATTAAGGGGCTAAAATCGTATGGAAAATATAGATTTTTTTAGAGCAACTCCCAGACAAGTCAAGGCAAGACGATGAAGCTGCTTTACCAATCTCTAGTTGAAGAACTGATCCGAATCATCTACAAATGCGAAAACTACTCGTTTTTGTTTTCTTTTCTTAAAAAAAAAGATTTCTCTCTTTCTTGTCTTACAGACAATTCAGCGACATATCTTGAGGAAGGCGAATCAAATTTCATCTCCGTACCCTACGCCACTCCAAGACGATTGTATAACGCAACCATTCTACAAACAAACGTTACAAATGGATTTCGAGTTGTGTTCCAATATGTTTATAGCGGTAGTAATGATGGTGAAGTTCAAATAGGGACAGGTAATGATCCGTCTGACATACAGTCTGTCATCACAACTATCACAGGATTCATAAACTACACTCCTGATGATGTCTATGTAGATACCAATGAGATGTGGTTTGCTGTTATAGGACCAAAGAGGTATCCCATGCGTGAAATGGACGTTGAGATCATTTCCGTTGACCTATCAAGTGAGTGTAGAATTAATTTTCTTTTAAAATATCGGTGGGATCTAAAGCTCTGTGTATTAATGCATTGATAAGTGGTATCTTAACAATGGTAAAATTAAATATTCAACAACGGTTTAGTTTTACCAGAAATAATAGTATAAAGAAGGTAATTTGTAAATGCGTCTAATTACTAAAATTTATCAATGAAAACCAAGTGTATTCAATTGTAAAATGTCCATGCATTATGAGCTTCTCATAAGTTATTTTTCTCTCCATCTTCTGTCAGCCTTATTTGATTGTTCGAGATCCAACATGAGCGTGTCACCGACTGTCCTGTGCGATGGGCTTTACAACTGCGATCATTACGAGGATGAATTAGCATGCAGTAAGTCAAAGAACAACTGATAGTCAGTACTGCATTTTTTTTTATAAATATGACAAGTTTCTGTTGTAGTTTATAGTTTTGTAGCATATATGTTATTAATAACTAATTCTAAGTTTCTATAACGAATTTGATCTCAGGCTATAAAATGCCACAATTACAGTAGCTTATAACGCGTTATTGATAACAGGTTTCATGAAATCGTTCCCAGATAAACACAGAATTGTTGGAATAAAGGTGCTGAAACATGAAGCCATGTATTTTGCATTCTCTCACAAATATTTCAAGTGTGTTGAGGTCAAATTGCGACCACTTATTTTTTCATTATTAGATGCAATAACCGACAGTGACGGGTTTTAAGCACAATCACTTAATGAACCCCCAAATACGACATTCAATATTTTAATTAGAGACATAAAATTTGAAAAAGGAGCCCTTGCACTTAAAAAGGGGCTCTTATACAAAGGGAAAAAAAGGAGCATTTATTATAAGAGAAAGTGGCCTTTTGTCAAAGTAAAAGGGGCACCTATTACAACATTAGAATAGAATAACTGTTGAAAGAATTTATGAATAAATAAATAAATAAATAAATAAATAAATTATCAGATGTGAAAAGGCCACTTATGAATAGGGGAAGTGGCACTCATTAGTAAGTAAAAGCGGCACTTTTGGGGTACTCGAAAAAGATAGGTAGGCAATGTGGCTGAGGGGCACTGCCACTGCATCCTAGGTAATACTAGGAATTATGGTTATGATAATAATAGGTATAGCACACCAAAAATAAGTACAACAAACACACGTTATTTGATGATTGGAAATGATCAAGCTTTATGAAAGCTTCAAAAAAAAAAAAAAACAGAATTGAAATCGGTTAATGCGTTGTGATTTTATACCATTTTTTGAAATCGCAAAATTACCGAAAAACCTGCTAGAAATGGTCAAATTGGCAAAAATGGCAAAATTCGACAAAGTTGACAACTTAATTCATCACTGTCTTGGACACAAATAATAAATTAAATTATCAGACACTAAAATATCATCTTTGTGGTAAAAAATACAAAAAAGAAAATTCATATATCTATTACCGTTTTGGAAACAGAAGCCAACAAAATAAGTCACTTTTGCCATTTTTGCAAATCTGCAGATATGAAAAAGTTGTGAAAATAATCAAGTCTGCCTAATTAATATGCGCATATGTAATCAAATCAAAACCGAACATGATACATCAGTGAAACCTATGTATATCAGACAGGTATGGAAATATATTTTACTTGAAATTTAAAAAAATCATGAATATTCATCAAATATGCAAGTTAGGTCATTTCAGCTAATTATATATTCGCGACCTCATTATGCAAATTAGGAAAGTCAAACTGTTCATTTTTGGGGCATTTTTTAAATCATATATTCATAGATCATATTTACACCGAATATTAACCTTAAATTCCAAATATTTTTGCAATGCCAATGAAATATGGTGATGGAAATTACTTGGATCACCGTTACAGCTATCACCTCTCATGTTTCACAAATTATTCAGAAAAACCGATCATATGATAAGAATTTGCAGACTTTCAGCTTTAATCACAGTATATTTTTCTTTTTAAAAGATGTCAGATTTGAGGATTTATGACGTGTTTCCGAGAAACCATTCAACAGGCCATAACATTCCACTTCAACAGGCCATAACATTCCACAGGGACTGAATTTAAGAGTAAAAACAAGTTTGGTGACGTTAGTACAATTGTGGCTACCTTGAGTGTAAATAACAAATTGATTTAATGAGTGAAACACATGAGGATATTGCATGTTTGTAGGGGAGTTTTATACATTGAGGTGCATTTTCAACACGCAGAATAACAACAGTGCAAGTCAATGGGCGATCAGCGGGCCATGTCACACATGGCTGAAAAGACAATATTCTAATTAAATAATTTAACATATTTCCCACATGCCTATATCAATGGAACACAGAATTGTAGTTAAAGGTATGCTTGAATTATATGTGAAATAAAAAATTTAAAATATTGTTTAGTTTTTTAAAATAAATTTACAAAAATTGCCGTTTCTACCAACTGACTGCTGTTGTGTGTGTGTGTGTGCGTGTGTGTGTGTGTGTGTGTGTGTGTTCGCGGGGCAGACTGTGTGCACAGGCAGTGTGATCACCCTAATAATAATAATATTAGATACAAATTATAATAGTAATAATAATGAGTAGAATTGCAATCATATTAGAACAATATACATGAATTAACCCACGTGTTCTTACATCGCGGACGAAAGAGCCCCTCCCGGACTATCCTAAGCGATTTGTTAGAAGTCTGTAGCATCTAGGATAAGGGAAATAGGAGGGCCAAAAGAAAGGTTTAAAAAAAGGCATGGAAATACAAAATGGCGCCTGGATCACTTGAGTGATCACATGAGTGATTTCGAATACGAAGAGTAAAGAGACCTCGATTGGATGCCGGAGGTCATGCCTCCACAGTGTGAAAGAAATCGGGATCGAGAAAGGGACCTAGATAGGGCTCGAAAACACTGCCTGCCAAACATATGGGCATTGGGTGAATGTAGGAAACGTCATTGTGCGAGCTATATGGCCCATATTTTAACTTGACGGTTCCACCTTTGGATTTGGAGAAGTTGTTTGAAATTAACACAGTTTAACCCAATGGGGGCCACGTTAAACATTTGATTAATTTTTATCCCCTACCCCTAAAGATGAATTATGTCAAGTTTAATTAAAATCTAAACATGCGTTTTTGAAGCAGATGAAACAATTCATTTTAACATTGAGTCCCCTCCCCAAGCGGTTACCCCCCCCCCCCCCCTCACTCAGGGGCCCGATAAGGCCACCCTGGAAACTTTTTAGTCCAGATTCTGTCCGTTTTTTACTTGAATTCATTTATCACACGCATCGATCCCATACACAGTGCGGTCTACGTTCAACGTTGAGAGTGTGTTATTTTAGCAGCTGATTGGGCGCGCGACACGGAAAAGGTACAGAGGCTGGACTAGGAACTGTTATGAACACTTTCTAATTTTAACCTAAGAAGTTAAGTACATACATTAACTGTTGTACTGCTGAATCTGGAGAAGATGTTTGAAATTTACATAGTTTGGGTCCTTTCGGGCCCTCCATCTGGGTTCCCATGGGGGCCACGTTTACAATTTGAAAAGAATGTGGATCCCCGACCCCTAAGGATTATCCCAGCCAAGTTTAGTACAAAATCTAACCATGCGTTTTTAAGAAGTAGATGAAATTGTGAAAGGTTAACGGACGACGGACGGGGACGGACGGCCATAGACCACCTTGAGCTAAAAAAAAATATTATGATGTAGGGCAAGAAGGGGCAACAGGAGTGATGATTTTATTTGTTTTTTTAGGCTTGATGGATGTACTCTGTGATTCATGGCCTTGGCGTATAAGCCGGGGGAGGGAGTAGCCCCCCCCCCCCCTCCCCGCCTCTCCTAGGTAATAATCGGGCACAAAATAATGACTGCAAAGATTCCTTCGTCCTTTTTCGATAAGCCTTATATTATAATAATAATAATAATAATAATAGGGATTTCTATAGCGCCGTCTATCTATCTAGAAATTCTATTCCGAGGCGCATGTATTGTTACCCCGGCTTTAGCTCCAGCAGTTCAAGGAATTGATTCCTGCCAGGTACCCATTTACATCACCTAGGTTGAGTGTGGCAAATGTAGATAAACGTCTTGCCAAAGGACATTAGTGCCGCGGCGGGACTCGAACCGCGGACCTTGTGATCGACAGTCCCGCGACATATCTACTCGACCACGACACCTCTACCAATATTTAAACTGTAACATGCTTTTTTACGACATTTTTACCTCTAACATTTTTACTCTGACATTTTTTTCTCTGACATTTCTACCTCTGATACTTTTACCTCTGACAATTTTTCCTCTGACATTTTACTTCATACATTTTTACACCGAGTTGGAGAACTGATAAGCATCATCTAAAAATGCGAGAGTCACTTATTTGTGTTTATACTATGTTTTATATATCTTTCTTTCTTGTCTTTTCCCCCTTACAGATTATTCAGCAACTTATCTTAAGGAAGGCGAATCACATTTCCTCACCACACCACAGACCACGAGAACACGATTGTATAACGCAAGAATTCTACAAACAAACGCTACGAATGGATTTCGAGTTGTGTTCCGAGATTTCTTTTTCTTTATTGATGATGTATTTCAAGTAGGAACAGGTAACGATCCGTCCGACAAACACTCTGTCATCACAACTATCCAAGGATACATAAACTACTCTCCAGATGATGTCTATGTAGATACCAATGAAATGTGGTTTGCTGTAATAGGAGCAAGTGGTTACTCAACTCTAAGAATGGATGTTGAGATCATTTCCATTAAGCTATCAAGTGAGTGTTGAATTCATTTTATTTTAAAATATCGGTGGGATCTAAAGCTCTGTGTATTAATGCAGTGATAACTGGTATCTTGAAAATGGTAAAATTAAATTATTCAACAACGGTCTAGTTTTACCAGAAATAATAGTATAAAGAAGGTGAATTTTAAACGTGCCTAATTACTAAAAGTAATCAAAGAAAATCTAGTGTATTCAATTGTAAAATTTCCGAGCGTTATGAGCTACTCATGGGCCTAAGTTGTTTTTCTCTCCCTCTTCTACCAGCCTTATTTGATTGTTCGAGATCCAACATGAGCGTGTCATCGACTGTCCTGTGCGATGGGCTTTACAACTGCGATCATTACGAGGATGAATTAGCATGCAGTAAGTCAAAGAACAACCGATAGTCAGTACTGCATTTTGTTTATAAATATGACAAGTTTTTGTTCTACTTTATGATTCTGTAGAATATGTTATTAATAACTAATTCTGAGATTCTATGACAAATTCTTTACTCAGTCAATCCGAAATGCCTATATTTCAGTAGCTTATGACAGGTATTATAACAGGTTTTATAATTTAGGTCCCAGGTATACAAACACGGAATCGTTGGAATATGCTGAAATATGAAGCCATATTTTCGCATTCTCTAACATTCTTCTCCACTGCTTTTTGAATTTAAGAAATTAGTAAAGATCATTCGTTTCGAAAATAATATCGCTAGTGACATTCGTTTGTCCCGCAATGTATGGTCAACAAGTAATCAAAAGATCACGACGTTTCGTGCGCCGCTGCAACACTTTGTCAGGTGAGAAAATTTATTGTAAGCAAGCGTCTTTTATACTTTACGGGTGAACCGGGTGGACCGGCGGTCAAATATTTAAAACAATAACGGACAAGGCCTATTGGGCGAAACACACTGGTGATCAACCAATCAACGGGCCGTCGACTCGGGTCGCCTGCCGGTCGGGAACAATGGCGTGCTCAACCAATCAACGGGCCGATGGCTCGATGCAGGCCGGCTGGACGGGGAGTGTCATGGCGGCGTATCGTACGCATCCAAAAATTTGGGGATATCGATCCCGTTGTCTCTGTTGAAATTATTGGGATTGAGACGTATATTGATAGCTTCTTTAACCCTCGGTTTGTACTAATGTCGTTCTTGGGAAAGGCATTGAACCCCGTCCCAGTCTGGCTGATGTTGGTTATCCCAAGCATGTTTCAACTGGTAAATCAACTGGTAATCATCTACTGGTTTCAACTGGTAATTCAACTGGTAATCATCTATTGGTTTTCAACTGGTCTCAAATGGTCCACTCTGGCTTTATGGGTTTTAAACTGGAATCAACTGGCAGATGTTCAAGTAAGGCCTATATTTTTTAACTGGTATCAACTGACGTCCCTCTTATGCTCAGTGATTCTTTCTGATATCGGAATGGCAGTTTCACCGATGTAGGATCTATCACATCCTTTACAAGGGATGTTGAACATAATGCCGTCCCGTCTGAGTATAAAAGACGTTTGCTTACAATATATTTTATCACCTGACGAAGTGTTGCAGCGGCGCACGAAACGTCGTGATCTTTCAGATCCCTTGTTGACCTTACATTGCGAGACAAACGAATGTCACTAGCGATATTATTTTCGATACTATATCCGCAATGAGTAATATATTTAGCATCATTAGTTTCTTGCAAATCATTTCTTTATTAATTATTACCTAAGCTCGTCTACTAGAAATCAAAGTGTGTTTGTGGGTGTGTGGTGTCGGGGTGGGATGACTATGATTTCGTTAGTCATTTCGAAGCGTTTTTGTGCAGAATCTTCCAGACAAGACAGGATTTATTTTAGGATTGGAGAGAAGTGCACCTTATCAGTCGTGGTATTATACATTTCTTCATAATTTTGTTTTGGTATGGATGCGACACTTTAAGCACATTCCATTAAGAATTTAGTTGGAACATTATCTGATCCAGATCTTGAACTTCATGTTTTATAGCAGCCTGTCATGTCGTCGAATGATAATACTGTTTGTCTGGCATTTAACTTAAGATCTTGGGGATGTAGTAGAAATTGGATCACTCTGTGCACAGCCACCAAAGCCATGATAACTGTAATTTCGATCAGTTCGATATTAGCTTGATATTGAAGGTGGTCATGAGGCGGCGTCAGACACAATTTTCCCGACCCATCTTGAATTATCTAGATGCGGTCAGAACACCAACCGTTTCGGGAATTACCTAGATTGTACTTGAGGGGGTCAAATCGTATGGACGACAATATAGGTTTTTCAGGACAAGCTGCCAGACTAGTCAGTGCAGGATGATGAAGCTTATCCACGAATCTCTAGTTGAGGAGCTGATAGGAATCATCTACAGAAACGAAAGTTACACGTGTTTCTTTTCGTTTATTGCTTTCTTAATTCCCTTTTTTCTTTCTTGTCTTACAAAAACTCTTTTTTACAGATTATTCAGCAACATATCTTGAGGAAGGCGAATCACATTTCATTTCCTTACCATACACCCGTACAAGCCGATTTTATTACGTAACCTTGCTACAAACAAACGCTACGAATGGATTTCGAGTTGTGTTCCAATCTTTGTATCTCTCAAATGATATTGAGGTCCAGGTCCAAATAGGGACAGGTAACGATCCGTCTGACATACAGTCTGTCATCACAACTATCCATGGATACATAAACTACTATCCAGATGATGCCTACGCTACCAATGATACCTATGTTGATACCAATGAGATGTGGTTTGCTGTCATTGGAGGAAAGGGTTTCAGCACTCTTCTGATGGATGTTGAGATCATTTCATCAAGTGAGTTTTTGATTATTCTCGATTCGCCTTATTTGAATATCATTTATGTTGGATATCACTGCATCTCTTAATTTTCTTCACACTCCGAACAAATAATTGTATCGTCATGATCATCCCAGATGGCCAATGAAATCGGTGATAAAGAGTCCTGTGACATGATGATATACCATGTCCCTTTTTGAAGCAGTAGTCAATGTTTAAAGCATCATCAGCTGCCAATATTTCGCATTTTCTATCTTCTACCAGCCTTATTTGCTTGTTCGAGCTCCAACATGAGCGTGCCACAGACTGTCCTGTGCGATGGACGTTACCACTGCGATCATTACGAGGATGAATTAGCATGCAGTAAGTCAAAGAACAACTGATAATATCTTTCCTTTGTGCAAAACATTTTTTTTTTCTTATTCGTTTTTCCCATTGTCTTTGCGATTACCTTAAAGCAATTTTTTTCTTATTAATTTAGCAAGACTTATAAGTTATATTGATAGGCAAGCCATGAATATGTAGGAATTTAGAGTATGGGAGTTAAAAATAGTTTTGACATTACCCCGAACCGGTGTTGCCAGGTTACTTTTTTTCTTCTCGTGGGAAGGGGCTTTTTGGGATAAATTGTCCAGCAAAATGAATAAGATTTCACAAAAATCCGCCAAAACAATTCTTTTAAAAAAAATTGTTATTAATAACAAATTCTAAAATTCTATGACAAACTTGCTCTCAGTCAATCAAATGCCTTGGTTTCGGTAGCTTATACCAGTTGCTGTAACTTGTCATTGATAACATGTTTTATAAAACAGGGTCCAGGTACACGAACACAGAATTGTTGGAATAAGGGTGCTGAAATATGAAGCCTTACAATTTGCATTTTCTCGCATTCCCCCCCCCCCCCCCGCCACTGTTTTATGAAACTATGAAATTCAATGATGTCTGGCATTTTAACGATGACATTTCTACATTGTTTTGAAGACTGGCTTGTTTTGTCAGTCTTGTTGACTTTTCCTCGATATTTTAGTTGCATTTTTGCTCCCGGCATATTAGGGTAGCCCTTTTTTGTTCCAGCGACTTTTCACAACTTGATAGGGGCAGGCGATTTGTCCTGATATAATCGTCTATTTCACTTATAATTCATTGTTTAATAACAAGAGTGTGGCAGGGTGAGTGTAGCTGTTGGGTTTCCCCCCACCCCCTCACTAAACCACCTCAACAGACCCCATGAAGTCTGGTCCAAACAACGGATTTTGTCGATATGAAGTCATATGTGTGCATATTAGGACAGGCCAGTCTTTATATTTTGTAATGAACAGATAATGTTTCCTGTAAAAATTGTGTTCTTCTGATTTATAGTTTTAAAGAGCCCCAATTTTTAAGGGGCGCCTGATATTAATCAACTCCTGTATGAATTTTGTCTCTTTTTCGTTTTATGTAATTCCGAGTCATAATTTCTACCAACGAAATTTATTGCATGAGGTAGATGGGTTGGAACCGATTTGACTTTGGGCTCTATTTTGGGAGCTCTGACAGATACGGGCCGGTCGACAATCTTTTTGAGAATGGCCTATATGGTCTAAGTTACTTAAGGGAGTCAAATCGTATAGATAATATAGGGTATACTTTTTTTTTGGGGGGGGGGGTGGGGATTTCCCATACTAGGCAGTGCAAGATGATGAAGGTTATCTACCAATCTTTAGTTGAAGAACTGATCGGAATCATATTTAGATGTGAAAGTTTCTTTCTTACATGTCTTACAAATATTCTTACAGATAATTCAGCAACATATCTTGAGGAAGGCGAATCACATTTTATCTCCTTACTTTACACCACTACAAGACGATTGTATAACGCAACCCTACTACAAACAAACGCTACGAATGGATTTCGAGTTGTGTTTCAAGATTTGCTTCTCTATCATGATGACAAAGTTAAAATAGGGACAGGTAACGATCCGTCCGACATACAGTCTGTCATCACAACTATCCATGGATACAGAACCCAAGCTCCCAGTGATGTCTATGTTGATACCAATGAGATGTGGTGTGCGGTCATTGGAGCAAAGAATATCTCAAGGCTGGAAATGGACGTTGAAATAATTTCTATTGATTTATCAAGTGAGTGAGTGTGGGATTAATTTTCTTTTAAAATATCGGCGGAATCTAGAGCTCAGTGTATTGAAGCAGTGATAAATGGTTTATTACCAGATGTAAAATGTGAATCATTCTGCACCGACTGATAAAACCATGTTCCCAGTTTTATCAACAATAATGATATTAATGAGATAAATTCTTAACGCGCCTAATGACTAAAAGTAATCTAAGAAAACCTAATGTAATAATGTAACCATGTCCCTTCTCTTCTTATCAGCATTCATGGGGTTGCGTGTCCGGACGCCTAACAAAAATAAAGCCATCACTTTTGCCTTAGTATTTAACGAAAAGTACGCATCAAATAGCATTAACCATCATTTATAAATATTTGTCATTCATAATATTGTCTTACATAATTTTTTAATTCTTTGTAAACTTCTTCAAATCAGCAATGTAAGTCAACTGTCCAGATACACAACCTATCCGGACACAGAATGTTTGGGTATAAATTATTCACAGCCTGCTAAATGGTTCATTATATAATTCATTGAAATTGAATAGTGTACTCAATCTTCATTTTTATGCGTTATTAGATAAGGAAATTAATGTTTACTTAATAATCACGGTGCTAAGTAGATTTAAGAAATGATACGCTCGTATTAAACAATTAACCTCTTTATATATATATATATATCTATATAATAATACTCTAAGGCGTCGAGGGGGGTATCTGGGGTCCATTTTACAGCGCCCAAATCTCCCCTCCCGCCCGCCCCCGGTCGCCGCCGGGCGGTCCCGCGGACGGACGACGTTTTAATCTACCCATTTGGCCACGTCCCCGTTCGATCTTCGGTCGATCGCGGTCGCCGTCGACGTCGATAAAGGCGGTTTCGGGGTCCCGGGGAGGACGGGCGGACGAGGGCACGGCGGGCGTCGCGGATTGCAAGGAGGCGACGAACCCGCGAGAGCGAGTCGGCAAGGCGTGCATCCGCCCTCTGTGCAATCAACAAAGAGACACACAGCGGACGAGAATCTACTCTGTCAATGGATGTAGCACATCACGTAGTAACGGTTTTGGCTTACCCCGAGTTTAGGCCTCTTGCTATAGGATACGCTTTGTAGCATGTAAGAGAAATACACATTAACAGATGACTCACCCGGGTGAGGGGATGTAAGAAATGCACGCTCTCACGGGTTGGGCTTACCCGTGTTATGCGTCTTTTTATATGATATGCTTTCTAGGCCAGCCGGACCTACTGCGTGTACCAACGTACGTGTATAATGGGGTCGGGCTAACTCGCCCCACGGGACATCTCGCCCCAGCCTTTTAAGCTGGGGCGAGATGTCCCGACATGATTAATCGATCGAGAGATACCAATGTGTATATGTTTGTGCTCATTGTGACTTAATAATGCCATTTCCAACCACAATCTGCTATGGAATTGTGTTATATGATACTATTGAAGACAATCTTTAACTTCTCTTAAGGTAAAATGACAAAAAAAACGGCATTTCGGACCATTTACTCACAGCTCGCAAATCGCATTGCCGCACGTACATTAAATGTGCGTTGTATCGACTCGGACCACTGAAATTCGAGCAGTGTGTTTGTCAGTAAATCACTGCAAAAATATCATTTTCATAATGCATGAAGGTCTATTTTTGATTCCTGGTATACATTTCGTTATTGAGAAGTCGAATGTACTACATTTTAGACGAGATGCCTGATGTTTGTTCACATTCTTTCGTCCTGGCCGTAAATTAGCAGACTACTGCCTAGTGCTACCGCAGCAGCTCAGCTCAGTGTGCAGCTAGCAGTACAGCGCCGCCGGCCGGGTCGGCGGGGGAATTCACTGACTCGTGCCGGGCTGCTGCACTGCATTGCATGATTGTACTGCCCAATTTGATCGAGTGATGTGTGAGTATAACTAATCAAACTAGATCTATATCTACTGTATTATCATTATTCATTCCGAGTAGAATATCCAATTTGATTAAAACTAGACCTAGACTCTAGATCTATATCTACTGTAGCTAGGCCTACATCATTATCATATACTAGATTAGTCATTCAGAGTAGAATATTCGATTAATAAAGGAATGGAATTTTTCTTTTTCATAATCAGATAATCATATTTTACTCCTAAAAGTTACCCCCCAAAAATGTATTTGGTGGATCTCAGATATCATTGAGACCCCCAAGTGAGTAAACTAATCAAACTACAGTAGGGTCCTACATTCATCTAGATGGGGTCCAGACAACTCGCCACAAAGACAACCCGCCCCAAGACAACCCGTCACAATACCCTGGACATCCCGCCACAATACCCTGGACAACCCGCCACAATACCCTGGACAACTCGCCACAGCCTTTTCGGACAACTCGCCACACTTTTTCCCATCATGATTTCTAGATCTAAAATGAAATGAAATTGTCATTTTTCATGATTTTCGTGCTTTTATAAACACAGTCATTACAAAGAATAAAGAAAGTTGATTTCCCTAATTGTAACAATAATATATATTGAAATGAAATTGTCATTTTTCATGATTTTCGTGCTTTTATAAACAGTCATTAAAAAGAATAAAGTTGATTTCCCTTGTAACAATAATATACTTTTGATCTAGAGGTCTATAACAGCTGCATTTTTCTGTCCCAGAATTTTTTTATGGTAGGATACTGGAAGCACTGGCGTACTGATGGGGGGGGGGGGGGGGGGCAGGTAATATTAGAATGTAAAGATACGCCAAAGATACATAGCAGCATATTCCTACCATTAAAAAGTTTCCTGAGACATGAACTTAAAAATCGTAGTCGTAACTCGTAGTCGTAGTACGCCTGGCTTGGGTTCGTCCAAAATAGATTCTTGTTGCAAGCGCAGGGAAAATCATCTTTATTCTTTAGAACAGCTCTCAAAATACTCACAATTTCCATGTTTCCTGTCATAACTGTGTTTATAAAAGCACGAAAATCATGAAAAATGACAATTTCATCTAAGATGAGGGATTTTAGATCTAGAAATCATGAGGGGAAAAAAGTGTGGCGAGTTGTCCGAAAAGGCTGTGGCGAGTTGTCCAGGGTATTGTGGCGGGTTGTCCAGGGTATTGTGGCAGGATGTCCAGGGTATTGTGGCGGGTTGTCTTGGGGCGGGTTGTCTTTGTGGCGAGTTGTCCGGGATTCATCTAGATCTATATCTACTATATTATCATTATTCATTCATTCAGAGTAGAATATCCAATTTGATTGAGTAAACTAGACCAATGTAGCTACATCATCTTTACTATACTCATTCAGGGAATCAGGGTAGAATCTCTGATTAACATGATGGTGATTAATGGGTACAAAACGGTTCCTCAAAAACGTCTTTCCCCGACTCCGCCCGCCTCCGCCGTGGCGCGGGGAGGGCGGCACAATTCCACGAGGCCTGTCTCCCGTAACCCGCGTGCCACGTCGACCCCGCGATCGACGTCCACGCCGTTAAACGCGGTTTCGGGGTGCCGGGGAGGAGGGGCGGACGAGAGCACGGCGGGCGTCGTGGATTGCGAGGAGGCGACGAACCCGCGAGAGCGAGTCCGCAAGGCGTGCACCCGCCCTCTGTCTAATTATCAAAGAGAGACGAAGAGACACACGATGGACGAGAATCCACTCGCGTCAACGGGTGTAGCAAGTCTCATTGTAAAAGGCTGCGGCGTATCCCGAGTAAGACCTCTTGCTATAGGATTCGCTTTGTAGCGTGTAAGAGAAATACACATCAACAGACGACTCACCCGGGTGATGGGATGTAGCCAATATGTACGCTCAACGGGTTGAGCTGACCCGTGTTACGCGTCTTTCTATAGGATATGCTTTGTAGTACGTGTATTACACGCTCTCAGGTCACACACAAGCACACACCACAGTCGATTCGAGTCGAGGCGATTGCGACAACTGGCGCAAACCATGGACCTATTTTCACGTAAAATCTTTACTCTGAAAATAATTATACAAATTCTGTGATCTGTGCCAACATAATCATAGTCCAAGCTTCTGTTTTATTGGTCTTTTCATGAAAACTACATCGAAATCACAACAAGAATAGCGCAAATAGATCTGTGATAGTACGCCTTCACGTGACAGTTCAGTTGCAAACTGCCTTGAGTCCACAGTGTATTGCCACGGCAGCTGAGCGCCGCTGTCGGCGGTGCTGTCGGAGCTGAGTGTGTGAGCATGGAGTAGCGGTGACCGGAGTAGCCAGGTCTGTCCGTGGGTGTGAGGAGAGTCTAAACAACACTTTGAAATTGCTATTATTGCCCCGATTTCAATATAGTTTCGTGAATAGATGTATGAAACCTGGGCTTGGATTGTGATTATTCTGGCCATATATAGTTGTATACTGAATTTCGATAATCATTTTTCACAAGAAAATCAGACGGTCGTCATGGTCGTTTAAAAACATGATAATACTTTTAGTATGATACAGTTCTTGCATCAAATCAATTTTTAAAGTATGGGGGGGGGGTCAGGTAACTCAAAGCGATTTGAGTGCAGGCGTGGTGTCCACGGGTACAAAGGGCTGAACCCCCGAAAGCTCAGGGGTTTTAGGCATTTAATTACGGTCAGATGAGCATATTTTTAATGCCTTATTTGTGACACTGGCAGGTCGATCACTAATTGGCGTGGGGTCCATAGTAGAGTTGCGTACCAACTACGCTGAGCTGAGAGTACGCTGGCCTACGTTACTATACCCTGAGGGACGCAAAAAAGTACGCAAGATAGACGCAAACAATTTAATATGTTTAACAAAATTCACGTACTTTCGGCGTAGAAACTTGACGCAGAAAGTACGCCTTTTTTTTACGTAACACTACGCTACTAAACTAAACAAACTGCATCTTTATATGAATTAATGAAAAATTAGCCCAAGAAAAATGAGCCCCCGAAAGATAAAAAAAGTAGCCCCCAAAAATTTTCCCAAAATTTGATAAAGATCGAGTCTCCGAAAAAAAAAATCTTTCACTGGATTCTACGCTCACAGTCCCACACA